TGACTGGAACTAAGAGGCACATGGAAGGGGTTTAAATGTCTAGCTTGTTCCTGCAGCGAGGAGCAGGAGGAGGAATTGTGCTGCTGCAGGACTAGGAGGAGAAGGGGGAAGGTTTGGCTCAGGTTAGTAGAGGAGGCTCTCTCTGCCAGGGTGACAATGCGTCGGGCTCCTCAGAGACAGCCATGCTTTGCAGATGGTACTTTTGTCCCTCCCACTTTTTCCAACTTCCAAGTTAACCTCTGGTAATCAATTCAATTAATTTGAAAACTCTATGCAAAAATGTATCCATTTCAAACAAGGGTAAAAAGTGAAGGGGAGGAAATTCTCCAACACCAAAATTTAAATGAAAGCAGGTTATAGGATTGGGGAGAGAGGAAATACACAAATATGAGCAATTAAGCTAAAGCATATATCCTCTTAAAAGATTCAGCCAAACTCTCTAATTCTTGGGAGAAAATTTTTGGAGCAAAAAAAAAAACAATGATGAAGAAGGATATCTCTCCAGTAGTGCCCACCAAGTTTGCTAATGTTAAGGCCACTGAATAGAGCTTCACTTCTTATTTTTGGTGTTGTGATTCCCTTTCAATTAACCTGGTCCAAAATCTTTTAAGGTTCTGGTTATGTCATATGTGTAATCTTTTAAGGTTCTGTTTAAATCAATATTTTAATCTGGACAGTCCCAGAGGACCCAGTACAGTAGTTTAGTCTAAAAGTGATTAACATATGCAGAACTAAGATTAAGTGCACCTTTCAAAGAATGGATCATAGCAGTTAGTAAATCACACTCCTTTTCTATTATTCCACTGGGAAAAAGTGTATTCAGAGCCACTATCGAATTAAGAAGTTGGTTTTTCAAAAAGACTAAATCTACCCCCCCCCCAGATCTGTATTCTTTTTATGCAATTAAGCAGATTTAACCTGAATATATTTTTCTTGGCTGTGTTTATTAAGAAATAAGTCCATTGAGTTCTGTGTCCTACAATTCTTTGTGCTCTATGCCTTATACTGTAGCTGAAATGTAATATGTTTAGAATTATGCTTTTATTATGGCATCTTTGAAGAACTAATGCCTGTGTCACCAGATGTCCAAATACATCTCTTGTCCTGCTATTCTGTAACTTTATTAATAGTGTCCTTTGCTTTTCACGGAGTACTTCCCACCTAGTAGTATAAATAAATAGTGAGTACTGATGGCTATTAAATAGTTAATGTTTTGCTAGGGAATTTGAAAAAGGGAACATGAAACTACTTGTTAGACCCTCCTTTTGCTAGCAAAAGGGAATGGAAGCATGTGTATGCCTTAGAGGGGTCTTAAGCTTTATTTAAGAAATCCTCACAGATTTCTTAACATTAAGAGATCTCTGAGGATTTCTCTTTTTTGCCCTCAAAGAAAGCGGGGAGTGGGGAGAAGGAGAGATTTAAACTTGAAACACAAGGTAAATTTGAAAAGAAAAGGCCTTTCTTCTATTCTTTTAGGGGAAGTTTATTTGATTAAAGTCCTTCTCTGGAGAATATATGAATGTTAATTCACTGGTCTTTAATCTTTAACAGGAAATAAAAAAGCTAATCCAAAGTGGCATTTTTGGTCCAAGGAGGACCTGCTGAAAATAAGGAGTTGTGGCATGAAGGAATGCCTGTGAAGTTGAACATTACGCTGCTAGCAGTTGAAAAAAAATGCCTGGTAAGTGGATTCCCGCCCTCACTCTCTCCTCTTGTTCTTTGTTCTCTGATATTTTTGTCTCTGGGGTTTTTATTACCTTTGTAGGTGCACCTTCAACATTTCTTCAATATTTTACTTATGGTCAAAAAGTAAAGAAAACATTTTATTGTGTATGTATCTTGTTACTGAATACCTACAATGCAAATAAAATTGTTGTTCTTACATGATTGGTTCAAATATGTGAAAGGTAATTATTTGAACAATACTTTAATCTTTTAAAGAGTAATTGGGTTTTTTTTAATGTGCATTAGAATAATTCCTGGGAAGGGAGAGCACATTTAATTAAGATTTTACTTCTGAGTAAACATGAGTAGAAATATTAATTTTGTTTTTGTATCAACAAAACACCCCACATTTATTTTATGTAAAAAGACATAATTTGCTTATATTAGCTTGTCCATTTTCCCCAACAGAAATGGCAAACCTAGTTAAATTATCCATTTTGAGATAAGTATTACATTATGTTATGTTATATTCTGTCTTATTTTATGCTACTCATTAGTAGCCTAACTATAGTTTGGAATGAACAATATCAAAAATTGTCTGTAATGAAGTAATTTATCTTATGTACAGATGAAGTGTTGTATGATGAGCAACACATCTGTTTTCAGAAGTAAACATCTATTTATGGTAGTTGATTTTTTTTTTGCAAATGCTGCAGAGAAATTCTATGCTTTGCTTTGGCTCTTAATATTAAATAATTAAACATTCATTTCAAAGGAGAAGCTTGAAGATGAAATAATAATGGTTTTATTTGCATTTTTTAAAAATAGGCCAGTTTTTACTTTGATAAGGAAAGAGCCACCTCTTATACCAATATAGAGGAACTATGTTATAATATTAGTATATTTGTTTACTCAGTATACATTCATAAAATTTCAAAGTGACTAATGTTACAGAACTATAAAAAGGATTAAAACCCAACATATGAAAGTAAGATTCTGAAACCAACTTTATAGTGCAAATGATACATGTATGCCCTTAAAATGTGCAGCAATAAGGCATTTAAATGCAGACAAATTAAGATTTGTTTATTTATGTGACCATTTATTTTATGTTTCTTTTAAAAAGCATAAAATGTATTTGTTAACAAAAATTAAAAATAAAACAAATGACCTGCTATGTAGCAGAATCTCGCAGAATAAGATGTGCAAGAATATTAGAATCGTTGAGAATTCCAAGTGAGTACAGGTAGTCCTTGACTTACAACAGTTCATTTAATAACCATTCAAAGATACAACGGCAGTGACTTATGACCATTTTTCACACTTATGACCCTTGCAGTACTACCTTAGTCATGTGATCAAAATTCAGACACTTGGCAACTGACTCAAACTTATGGCGGTCACCATAAAATCATGTGATCCCATTTTGCGACATTCTGACAAGCAAGTCAGTGAGAAGCCAGATTCACTTAACAACTGTGGCAAGAAAGGTCATAAAATGGGGAAAACTCACTTAACCAATGTCTCACCTAGCAACAGAAATGTTGGGCTCAATTGTGGTCGTAAGTCCAGGACGAGAGAGAGAGAGAGAATATCTTGTATGTAACTCAGCCCAGATTATCAATTTTATGCTCTGCTCGTTGCATTTCATTTAGAATCATGGTGATGGTCCAATAAGAACAGGGATGTCAAACTCGATTTCAGTGAGGGACAAATCAGGGTTTTGTTTGACCTCAGGGACCCCCTGAGATGGATGTAGCCAGGGTTAGTGTGGCCAGGGTGGGTGGGGTCAGCTCAATGTCAGTCATGTTGGGGGGGCTTTGGTGGCGTGAGAGCTCTGCCAGCGAAAACGGGCTCCCAAGTTCCGTTTTTGGCTGCAACGGCCTCCTGCAACCCTCTGTCAATGAAAATACATGCGGCCCTACTGAGCTCTGTTTTCACTGGCAGAGGCACTGCATGTGATGACCCGAGGTGTGGCACAAAAATAACAAAGTTACAAAAATAGATAAATTCCCTTTAATAATTCCAACTTGATCCCCAATGTCCAATTATCCTCGGCTAGAGATCAAACTCTTCCAAAAACAGTCTACAAAGGGAAGAAATGTAGTCCGAACTCAAAGTACAGATACATTAGAAATAAAAAAATCAACACAAACCAAGCTGAAGTAACTAACACCACAGGCTAGGATAATAAATTGCAGACTTCCAAAAGATAACCATGCACACACAGTTGGGAGGATGCCAAAACCCAGATAAGCCTCAACAAAAATAGTGCATGCTTTGCTTCCAGCAAGGTGTGTGCAAACGCCCTTCTTATATCCTTTTCTCCCAGCTGCAACTAATGAAATGGATCAGGGCCCTTTTCTCTCCCATAAGCCATGTTGTTCTCTCTTCCTCCCTGCATGCCCTAGAATGAAGAGAGGGTGGCCCTGGGTCTTCCTCTGAATGTTCAGCCGGACTGTGCCCTTCCCCCGTACCACCAGAGCCACACTCCCACTCCCTGTCAGCTGCTCAATCTCCCCCTCAGAATCAGACTCCAAAAAGGGCATGGCACCGCAGACCACCAGTACTTCACTGTTTCCAGGGTGGCACCGCAGGCCAGATCTAAGCACCCCATGGGACGGATCCAGCCCACGGGTTTTGAGTCTGACACCCTGATATAGAAGGATGAGTAAAATTTCAAGATTTCAACATTTTTTCTGAGCATTCTGAGTGGTGACTCAGAATAACTCTTTCATTTCTCAGAAAAAAAATCAATTTATTTCTCATGATTGGACCAGTTTGAAATATGGGATCTGTGAAGTCTGTTAGTCTCTGACTAATAGCAACCAAAACATAGATTGCATCATGTGTTATAATTGCATTTAGTAGGGAGACATAAGTTAAAGATGTACATTAGCATTTTTATAGGATGTTTATACTTCTGTAATATCTAAATAAAGTATATATTGCCCTTCTCCATATTTTTCTTTATGGAAAAATGAGTGTGGCACAACATACTGACAGCACTAAACAGCACTAAAAAAATGGTACTGTGGGCTTGGGCTAAATTTGCAACTGTCCTGCATAGTGGGATAAAATAAGAAGTGGGTCAAGAGTAGAACCAATTCTGAATTACATGAAAATGCTTTTTTTCCCAGTAACAGACCAGGCTTTTGTGACTCTTGCCACTAATGATGTTTATTGTCATGGAGCTCTGGTTCTTGGACAATCCTTGAGGAATCATAAAACATCTAGAAGACTGGCAATACTAATTACACCTCAAGTCTCCAGGGAAATGAGGTAAGGACACATCTCCCAATTTCATTCTCTTATCTACTTAACCACTACATCACTCTGCCTTCTATTCCCAACCATCTGAGCTGGTCTGGAACGATACCGTGATTTTTGGTGTCATGCCCCTGAGATCAAGGAGAACCAGGGTGAATATGAACCTTTCTATCTCATGTCCAGGTCATCCACAAGCGCAATCAATGCCATCTAGATCTCATACCCAGCTCTGAACCTGACTGAAAGGTCCATATAATCCATTTTCCTGAGGATTCTTTGAAGCTGTACCACAAGCATCAGATTGGATGAAAATTGTCCAGTTATGGTAGGGTCCAGAGAAGGTTTCTTAAGGAGAAGGTAGACCATTGCCTCTTTAAGCATGGGTATCCTTTTTTTTACTTCTTGAACCTAACCACATATCCCCCATGAAGCCATAGCTAACCTTATCTGTTGTATCTGGGAGGACGGTTCAAGAACGGAGGCAAGACTCAGATAGTAACTAAAGCTCTTTATTTGTGACTTCAGATCTGAGCAACAAACCCCAGCCGCAGCAGCCCCTTATATAGGGCTGGCTGCGGCTAGGCAGCCAATGAAGGCGATTTGAGTTTGCCGCTCTTGGCAGGGCCAATCGTGGCAGCCCGTTTACTGGCCAATCGCATCAGTCTATGGCGACCAATCACGATCGGCTTTTAGTGGGCCAATCAGATTTGCAGGCTACGAGCCTGCTAGTCCGGAACACCCCTCCCCTCTCAGTTCCGTTTAAGGGGTGGAGTAATATAGTCTCGCAGGTAAGCAGGTCTTCGCACCTGTCTGCCCGACCTACGCAGTTCCGCTTGACCCTGTTCAAACCCGGGTCCAGATGGACTGCCTGCTGGATCAAACAGGAACGGTGAACTGGTGTCATGGTCAGGGCTCTCCTCCGGTGCCTCCGGGGTGATGAAGTCCCCAGCCTCGCCGTCACTGTTTTGGCTCCCGGGGCTCGCCGAACCTTCCTGGTTGCTGCTTCCCGGCGAAGTCTCAGTTGCAGCTGGTGAGTGTTGCCAACCATGGTGCGGTGATCTCGTTGATAGCTTGGAATAGACAGGTGTTGGTTCTAATTCTGAGTTCACTGCTTCCCCTCCCCCCTTAGTGTCAAAGTTAGGGTCAGGGTTGGAAGATGTGGTTAGTCTGGAGCGCAGTTGGTCAATATGGCATTTCCATGGTCTGCCATCAGTGGTGAGTAGACGGTAGGAGCGGGGGCCCGTAACTTGAGTTACCTGGGCAGGAATCCAAAGGGGATCCCCAGAAAAGTTTTTTGCGAAAACAAGGTCTCCTACCTTGAAAACACGGTGCTTGCTGCTGGAACCCAGGGGCTTTTCCGGGGTGTAGGCAGGGTTCAAACAATCTAGAGGCGATCTGAGTTTCCTGGCCATCAGGAGTTCAGCTGGGCACTTGTTGGTCATGCTGTTTGGTGTAATGTGTTGTAGGAGCAGCATTCTAGTGACTTTGTCGTGGATGTTGCCTTGATCCATTTTCTGTAGGGTTTTTTTCGTAAACTGAACCATTCGTTCAGCCCGGCCATTCGCCGCAGGATGAGCCGGCGATGTGAGTGCGTGTCGGATGCCCCGTTCCGCTAAATACTGTTCAAAGGCTAAGGCAGTAAATTGGGGCCCATTGTCAGAGACCAGGACATCTGGTAACCCGTGTGTGGCGAAGAGTCTGTTCAGTTTTTTAACGACCGCCTCAGTAGTGGTTGCTTTCATTTTATTGACCTCAAGCCAGTTTGAGTAGGCATCAACAGTTATTAAGAAGGTGTGGCCTCTCGTAGGTCCCGCAAAGTCAATATGAATGTGAGACCAAGGACCCCTGGGTGTTTCCCATTCTGTTGGTGGGGTTTTAGGTGGAGCTGAGTGGTTTTCCTGGCATTTGTTACAAGAGGCGACCCAGGTTTCGATTTGTTTATATATACCTGGCCACCAGGCGTAACTTCTTGCCAGCGCTTTCATACATACGATGCCCGGGTGTCCATCGTGTAACATTTGCAAGACCCTTTTTTGTAATTTAGTTGGTACAACAACTCTGTCTCCCCACAAAATGCACACTTTTTGTGAAAAAAGTTCCGTTTGTCTGTTTTTAAACGGCTTAAACATTTCCTTAGTGTCGTAATCTGGCCATCCCCTCTCCACCCAGCCAAGAACTCGTGCCAAACAAGAGTCTCTTTTGGTTTCAAAAGCGATGTCTTGAGCCGTTAGTGGAGGTGATGGCATTGTCTCTATTTGCAGTACGGGGAGTGTGGGAGCTGGGTCTTCCTGTGGCTCGGGTAGCGGTGAGCGGCTCAAGGCATCTGCGTGAGGAATAGATTTCCCCGGGCAGTACTTTAATTGATAGTCGTAGGCAGCGAGAAATTCCGACCATCGCATCATTCTGGGGGAGAGAATGTGTGGAGTAGGGTTGTCGCCCGCCAGGATCCCAAGTAGTGGCTTATGATCCGTTATAATAGAAAACGGTCTCCCATAAACATATTCATGAAATCGTTTTATTGCGGAGACAATAGCAAGGGCTTCCTTATCTAATTGGCTATAGTTTCTTTCTGTTTTTGATAGAGTTTGTGAAAAAAATGCAATTGGTGCTTCTGAGCCATTTGGTAGGACGTGGCTCAGGATGGCCCCTACCCCAAATGGTGAGGCGTCACACGTGACAGTCAAAGGTAGTGTCTCGTTATACTGAATTAGTACTGCCTTTGAGGTAAGGAGGTCTTTTACTTGCTGGAAGGCGTGTTCCTCCCGACGACCCCAATTCCAGGATGCCCTTTTATCGAGTAGTCTATGAAGGGGCTCAGCAACAGTCGCCTTCTGGGGCAGGAAAATGTTATAAAAGTTAATAAGTCCCAGGAAGGCTTGGAGGTCAGTTTTGTTTTTAGGTCTTGGGGCGTTTTTGATAGCTGCCAATTTTTTTTCTGTGGGGTGGATTCCTTGCTTGTCAAGGAGGTAGCCAAGAAACTCCACCCTTTCTGTGCAAAGTTGGCACTTTTCCTTCTTAACCTTGAGGCCAGCGTTTTTGAACCTCTGTAGGACTGTTCTGAGACGTTTTTCTAATTGGTTTTTTGTGGGTGCTGCTATTAATACGTCATCAAAATAGGGCACGACCCCTTTTATCCCTTATAATAGTCTCTCCATCAGGCTTTGAAAGATGCCTGGGGCTACGCTTACACCAAACTGGAGTCTGTTGCATTTGAATGCACCACGATGTGTGACTATGGTTTGGGCTTCTGCAGTCTCGGGATCAACTGGTAGCTGTTGATACGCTTGGGCCAGATCTAATTTTGCGAATATTTTGCCACCCCCAAGTGAATGCAGGAGATGTTGAACAACTGGCACTGGGTAGGCGCTCTGCTGTAGGGTGGCCTTGTAGTCACCGCAGATTCTTATGGACCCGTCAGGTTTTATGGGGGTGATGATTGGTGTCTCCCATCGGGTGTGGTCAATAGGTTCTAACACGCCTTGCGCAATTAATTTGTCCAGTTGCTCGTCAATTTTGGATTTAAGAGCAAAGGGTACTCGGCGTGGCTTTAGACGAATGGGTGCTATGTAGGGGTGAAGATTAAATGAAATGGGGGACCCCTTGTACTTGCCTAGGCTTTCGTTGAACACTTCTCGGAAATCATGGACGAGAGCCGCCTCCCAGTCATTGTCTTCAGTATGATGGATGCCAGCCACTCCGATTCCTAGTGGCGCGAACCACTGAAGACCCAATAGACTTGGCCGGTCTCGGTCTACGACGGTGAGTGGTAGAATTGCCTTATGTCCCTTGAACGAGACCTGCACATGGCGGGTACCTGCGACTGGAATCCGGTTGCCTTGATAGTCTTTTAGTATGAGTCTCTGACTGCTGAGGTCTTGGCGTCGGATGTTGGGGACTAGCTGCTTGAGTGTTCTCCAGGATACCATGGATAGTGATGACCCAGAGTCGACTTCCATGTTGCACGGTTTGTTTTCAATCGTGACCTCTACTCGGATCTTTTTAGCGTCAAGTGATGAAGCGTGGCCGATGGTGATGGTTTGATGAGCCTCCTCTCATCTGGGGGCGTTGTTAAACCTTCAGGGTCTGCTGTACTGGTTCCACTGGTTGCTAGGGCGGTCCCTCTGCGTGGTGGCGTTGCCATCGTTTCTCTTTGGGCTGCTCCCTCTCCGTCTGGGGCTGGAATTTCTCTTGTTTCTGCATACTTTTGCGATGTGTCCCCGTTTCTCGCAAAAACGGCATATGGCATCTAAGAATCTGCATTCGGATCGGGGATGGTTTCCCCCACATCTGGCGCATTGGTAGTTGGCTTTGCGGCCCCGCTGGTCCCGTTGCCCACGTTCTGACCGGAGCCTGTGGACTTCTTCCTCGCTGTCTGAGGATGACTCGACTTCCTCGTGATGGGCGGTTGATGTGTACTTGTCTGAAAGTTTCCCAGCATCGTTGGTGGGTTGGCGGTTGGTCCCGCTGGTTCGACGCATTCATGCTGCCGATTTACGAGTGGCTTCGGCTGCTGTGGCGTCTGCTATGGCATCTGCAAGCGAGATGTCTCCCTTGGCCATGATCTTGCTCTGGACGGTTGGGTCTCTGAGGCCAAGGACGATGCGATCTCTCATGGCTTCTTCGAGGTTGGCGAAGCCACACAAACCACCCAGGTTCCTCAGGTCTGCCACAAAATCCCCAACACTCTCACCCTCACGTTGGTCCCTCTGGTAGAATTCATGCCTGCGAATGAGGGTTGGCATGGCTGGGGCATAATGGTTGTGCAGGATGGGAGCAAGGGTGTCCCAATCCATGGTTTTAACTTCAGCTGGCTTGGCTAAGGCTTTAGCCATCTTAAAAATGGCTGGTCCACAACGGGTTAGAAAAATGGCTCGTTTCTTGCTGGGCGTGGCATCTTTGAGGTTGTTGGACTCCAGGAACATTTGAAATCTGTCCATGTATGAGTCCCAATCTTCGCTAGCTGGATCAAATGGTGCGGGTGGTATAGCGCTGTTGGCCATGTCGCCGTCGTTGCGCTCTGTCAGCCACGTGCTCCTTCGGCTAGCTCAATTCAATAGCTTCTGTTGCCTCCGCATCCCACCCTCATCGCCAGTGTTGTATCTGGGAGGACGGTTCAAGAACGGAGGCAAGACTCAGATAGTAACTAAAGCTCTTTATTTGTGACTTCAGATCTGAGCAACAAACCCCAGCCGCAGCAGCCCCTTATATAGGGCTGGCTGTGGCTAGGCAGCCAATGAAGGCGATTTGAGTTTGCTGCTCTTGGCAGGGCCAATCGCGGCAGCCCGTTTACTGGCCAGTCGCATCAGTCTATGGCGACCAATCACGATCGGCTTTCAGCGGGCCAATCAGATTTGCAGGCTACGAACCTGCTAGTCCGGAACATTATCTGCTTTCTCAATACCAATAGGCTCAAGCTCATCCCAGATAACATAGCCAGATCCCACTTCAGTTAACTCTATGAATCTGACAAAAAGCCAAGTTCAGCTTGAGGTTCATCTGAGCAATTTTATACAATTGATGTCCCTCATAGGAGCCCTGCAAGTACATTTCTCCCTTGGTTCTTTTTCAGGACTGCTGGATGAATTCAGTAAGGATGGAAAAATAATGTTTTGTACCCTTATTATCACAAGGTAATCCTTAATAGAGGCTTGTGTCCCTGTTTGGTTAGATGCTGCTCATCCAGTGTTACTTCAGGTGTTTCTTCTACTGTATTTGGAATTCCTCTCTAAACGAGGGGGGATTCTGAGCTCAATGCACAAAGATTGGCTATCAAGCTGCTACTTCCCTCTTGTTCCAAGTGGCAACTAAGCCTTCAATTGAAATGAATACCAGATCTTCAGAAAAAACATGCAAATTCCCTGAGAAACCTGTCCATCGGGCATCTATAGTGGACTTCTCAAGTAGATCAAACTTTCCTATGGCTGTGGACAATATTGGGACATTTCAAGGCCACCAGGATGTGATTCATCCATGACAAGGGAATTAAAAATAATCTCCAGACCCAGCACCAGTGTACAGAGGCTAGTACAAAGCAACAGAACCCTAAAGCCCAACTTTGCAAATAGGATCTCATATACCACTAAATGAAAACCACTAGAATGTTCCAGATGATCATACCTTCCCCCCCGCCCCCGGTCTTCTGAAGCTGTTGCCATGACTATATGTGTGTTTGTGTGTTTGTTTGTGTATGAATAGATAGATAGATGATAGATACATAGATAGATAATCATAAAGGAAGGTTGATTACAGACTGACCTAGCAGCTAAAGGTCAGCACCTTTAAAAGTCCAGTGACCAGTCACTGGGTTAGGGGAGAGGCAGAGGCAGGGCTGTTTGCACACTCTCATTTTTCTCCCAAGTTTTTCTTCATATATTCCAATGGGTGCTTGAACAGGATTTCTGTCTTTGAAAGCAAATATTGATAAATAGCCAAGCAAGGTTCTTTGAGGCATGTCAGTGTCTGGTTCTCTGCTTTTAGAAACTGTATAGGGATCTAGGTAACATTTGGTCAGAAGCAATAGGTTTATGGTACTAATTAGACCTCTTTTAAAAAACAACAATAATAAAGCTTCCTTTCTTCATAGAATAATCACTATCCACTATCTATCTTTCATCTTGAAATCATTTCACTAGTATGCTTGAACTAAAGCTAATATTGATCGTCTTAACTCTAACTGCACTTGTATTTAATTTATGTGTTTAAAATTTAAATGTGTCTTGCAGTCCGATTATACATGTTTCCCAACATGTGGTTCTTAGCCTTTTGTTATCTGCAATCCTATCAGATGGCTCTTAGGAAGAAGTGTGTATATGTGTATATATGTGTGTGTATATGCAGATATTTTTTTGCTTATATTTCATACGACTTCAGCAACAGAGTGATTAATGTCTGGAATACTCTATCTGACTCTGTGGTTTTTTTTTCCCCCAAACCCCCAAAACTTTAACCTTAAACTGTCTACTATTGACCTCACCCCTTTCCTAAGAGGTCTGAAGGGGGCATGCATAAGCGCACCAACATGCCTGCTGTCCCTGTCCTATTGTTTCTTTTATATATTTTTTATTTTTCTTATATGTATCCATGTATTCATAACTATGTTTTTACTTATACCTATTATCTTGTAAGCAATTGACAAAAAAAAAGTATGCACACAGATAAACATATTTGCTTACCTTGTGTAGTTATTACTTAATAATTAAAGTTTAAGCTATTGTTACAATTCAGTTCTTTTCATTGTCTACTTCACTACATATCTTGTAAAAGGAGTGATTATAAGATTCATGATTTTATTGCTTTGACAGGGTTGCCCTCAAGACCATCTTTGATTCCGTGGTTGATGTTAAAGAAATTGACAGTAATGACTTGGTGCACTTAACTCTGCTGAAGAGGCTGGAACTGGGTGTAACCTTTACCAAACTGCATTGCTGGACTCTTACTCAGTATAGCAAATGTGTCTTCATGGATGCAGACACATTGGTAAGGGCAGCAGTGACAGAAATGACAAGCTGGAAATATTTGCCATAAGAATCAATTGTAGAAAAGAGAATTCTCACTTGCAGGAATCTTGTTTGTTATGGAATCTGCACTCAGGAGATTTAGACTCACAAAAAATATAATTATGTAAGTGTGTAAATGGGGTACATAAATGTATGAACAATACCTGTATACTTGAGGAAGAAATATCTAATTTTTGTCTGAGATAAGTGATAGCCTACACCAGTGCTATCAAACTCCCAGCCTGCAGCCGGATGCATCACGCACTGGCCATACCCACACCCGGTTTAGCAAAGGGGAAAAAAACTTCCGATACATCACATGATGATGCCATGGCGACGTGAGTTTGACACCCCTGGCCTACATAGATTATAGAGTTCCTTTTTTTTTTTTTCCTTTGAGTCAATCTTGACTCCTGGCAACTGCCTGGACAAGTCCGTACAGTTTTCTTCATAAAATTTCAGAAGTTTGCCATTCCTTACTTTCCAGGGCTGGGAGAGAGGGACTGGTCCAAGCTGGCACCTGGCTAAAGCAGGTCTAGAACTCATTGTCTCCCTGTTTGTAGCCTTGTGCCTTGGCCAGGACACCAAATTGACTGTCATTGTAACTTGGAATTACCGGGCAACTATAAAATCCTGCTAGGCTGCAGAATGTTTGATTTTTCAACCTTGATAGGATATACTTACTACATTAAAAGATGTTTTGTTATGAAGACATTCCCACATCTTAGTGTGTCTTTAGGAGTGCTGCAGAGTCAAAGTAAACTTACTGATAGTAAAGGATAGAATAATGAGTGAGTTCAATTTTAAAAAAAAAACTCATATCTGTAGCAAGAGAATTGACTGTGATTCAAATTTTCATGATCTTTCCAGGTGCTTTGTAATGTTGATGAACTTTTTGAGCGGGAAGAATTATCAGCAGCTCCAGATTCCGGTTGGCCAGACTGCTTTAACAGTGGTGTCTTTGTTTTCCAACCTTCTTTGAAAACCTTCAAACATCTTCTTCAGTTTGCTAGTGAACATGGTAGTTTTGATGGTAAGTCTCTGGACTTTGTCCTCTCCTTGCCTCTGGAGTGAGACTGTTGAGACTAGTTCTCAACTTTTGATGAAAGTTCATCAAAAATTCTGACATTTATATTTAGAACCAGCTGTCAGGCCCACCATTGTGTCCTGCCATTCTGTTGGAGGGGGTTGGGGAGGAAGGCTCGCTGGCATTTTCGCTTTTGCTGTAACTGCTTGGGAATTAGGGAGGAGGATTGTCTTCGGAGATGAAACAGACTCCTTCCCAGCAGGTTCCAGCCTGGTTCCAAGGCTGTCATGAGCTGAGAGCGACCTGCATTTTGAATCTTTTGCATGCTCTTTTTATTCTGTAGGAGGTGATCAAGGATTGTTAAACAGTTTTTTCAGCAGCTGGGCAACCAAAGATATAAATAAACACTTGCCATTTATCTATAATCTAAGCAGCAGCACTCTCTATACATATGTCCCTGCTTTCCAGCAGTAAGTACTAAAATGTTTTTGTATATTGATAATTCAGTGATAAGCAGTTCACTTTTTTCACAGATTTCTTTTTATTGTAGCTAGAAATGGAGCCCTGAAATATGTATGATATGGTAATTGATGAGTGCAGATTTTCTGGTTCATATCAGTTACATGCACTTTCAGATATATATACCCTTGTTAGAATATAATTAACTCAATTGGAAACATTTCTTCTTTCATACTATTAATAAATACATTTAGGTGATAGTAATCCATTGGTAATATAAGTACATATGGAAGAGCAGAAGAATTTGATGAAAGTGCTGTGTAGATCAACCTCAAGCTCCCACCATGATCAATCAGATGACTATGGGAAGCCCAAAGTAGGATATTTGTTTCTATCCTTCTTAGCCTTAATAATTAGAATATAATATCATTCTTTATAATTAGTTTATTGTCATTGCACCTCGTACAATAAAATTAAATGCCATCTTCAGTGTACCTTATAACTATAAAAATAAAAACACAAACACACATCCTTCACATTCTATACAATTGAAAACCCGATATTGCATTAATATTGCATGATACAGTCGAATTCAATATAGTTACTGCCCTGGGATAGAAGCTGTTTTTCAGCCTATTTGTCCTTGTTTTTATTATCCTGTACCATTTGCCAAATGGTAATTGTTCAAAAAAAAGAGCGTCCAGGGTGAGAGGGATGTTTAAGAATGTTTTGAACTTTCTTAAGGCAGCACGAGCTATACAGCTCTTCTTTAATTATTGTTAAACATTAATTTGACTATAAGATTCAGTTAGACGGATTCCAAAGCTCAGAGTCATTAGTATCTTATGCCTTTGTAATCCAAAATTACTAATATTTCCACCACAAATGCAAATTTTTAAAATTTTAATCTAATTATATATCAGACAATAATATACACAGATAACAGCAACTAAACAATCCATGGTTTGCTCATCTAAAGCAATCCAAACTCTTCATTGGGTTCCAGTACTTTTAACTTGCTTTTTGTTAGAATTTCTGGAGTCTCTAGAGCAAGTGATGGCGAACCTTTTCGTTGTGTTGTGCTGAAAATGTGCATGTGCGCGATAGTGCATATGCATGCCAGCACCCACAATGCAATGCACCCCGCCCCCCCCGTGCATGCACATGCAACACCTCTGCCCCCTCCTCACCTGCACTGCGCCTCCCAGCTGATTTTCGGCTCGTTTGAGGCCGTTTTCACCCTCCCAGGTGCTTGAGGGAAGCCTCTGCAGCCTTGGGAGGCTGAAAAACAGGCCTTCTGGAAATACCGGAAGTGTCCATTTTCAGCCTCCAGAGAACCTCTGGGAGCCCAGGGGAGGCCATTTTCGCCCTCCCGGAGGAACCTCGGGGAAGCCTCTGGAGCCTGAAAACGGGCCCATTTCGGCACTTCTAGTATTTCCTGAAGGCCCGTTTTTCAGCCTCCGGAGGCTGCAGAGGCTTTTCCTGAGCCCCCAGGAGGGCAAAAACTTCCTCAAACAGGCTGAAAATTAGCTGGTAAGTTTGGCTGGGGCTCAAGTGCCTGCACAAATGGCTCTACATGCCACCTGTGGCACACATGCTATAGATTTGCCATCACGGTTTTAGAGCTTGCCAGGTAGTGAGTGAAATGTTCAAAAATGTTTACAATCACAATTACTTTAGGTGATAAAATGGCTTCAGTAGTTTTTCCCATCATTATGAATTAATAGTATTGGACAATGTGCACTAGCTTAAAACTGTCTTATCATGGCCACCTACTCGCAGCTCATGCCTTTCCAGCATAAGCTTGTTCAGTTTTCAATTTCTAATGAACAATTCCAAGAAATTAACATCTCCCTTTTAGCAGGAACAAGGCTTTTGTATTTATTAATTAGTAGAAGCCTCTAAGGAGCAGTCCCATGGTGGGAAGTAATAAACCAAGCTTCAGCTTTGGGCCTGAGAAATGGATAGTTATAACGAGCTTCCTTTTCTCATACCAAGAAAATATTGTTGCCTTGACGCTGCAAAAGTAAATGGAAGGATAGCTATTATCTCTTCCAATCTTCCATAGAATCAAAGGATGCTTGAAAATTACAGTGTTTATCTCAGAAAGAACCCTGACAAAGGGAGACCAATCTCCATTATAAAGATATCTTCAGTATTTTGTCATTTCGAACTGGCACTGGCAAAGTGATTTTATCCCTCTGTCCTTTATTTCTTTATTTTGTGTATCTTTATTTTGGTTTTAGCTTTGCAATCAAAAGGCAAAACTTAAACATATTTTCATTTATGTATGACAGAGTGTATTGAATTTTAATTGTAAACCATTGGAATATTTTTTTATCTGAAAAAGTTGCAGAAATTGTATTAATGAAATAGTATTTTGCTGTCATGTAATTGCAGAGTTGAAAATCTTGTACTGTGCAATTAGTCCTTGGGTTAATAACTACTTGTTCAGTAACTTTCAAAATTGTGAATGAATGCACTTTTGGCTGGTCCTCGAAATTCCAACTGTTGCACTGCCCCCATGGTTATGTGATTACAATTCAGGCACTTGGCAACCATCTTGCACTTATGAGAATTGTAGCATCCTACAATCATGTGATGATCATTTTTCTGCCAGCTTCCTACAAGCAAACTCGGTGGGAAAACCAGCAGGGAAGGTCACAAGTTGCTCTTCTAAATTGCTCCTGCCACTTCTTTTTTCAAGGAGCCTATTGAATATGAGATCTCAGGGATCTTGTATTCTATAGCACCCACTTGAGGCACTCCCAACCTGCTGTCCACTGTGTACACCAGCCTGCCTGGCTACTCTGGAGGGGGACCGCATCACTCCCTCCACTTCCCAGCTGCATTCAGGCAGTACCTCAGCAGCCGCTCCTCACCCACATTGTCATGGCTTTTACCTCCCTCACCTGGTTGCATTCATGGGGTGCTACACCATCCTCTTCTCTGCCTGGCCATGTTCAACAGTGTTACACCACTCCTTACTCACACTGTTTCACACCGCCCCCCCTCCTCATATCACTATGAGCTGGTGTGTGGTGCTCTACACCAGTGACCCCCCCAACCTTTTGGGCATCAGGGCAGAGGTGGGATTCAGCCGGTGTTACTACTGGTTCAGTGACTGACACGCGCTGTGCAAACATGTAAAAAAACCCTCAAGCTGTGCCGCCTGGAGAGCTGAAAAACACTGCATGCAAGTCTGCAGTATTTTAAAAGCCTCTTTTTTCCTGCCTTTTCAACCTCAACTGTGTCACACAAAGCAGCTGAGGTTGAAAGAGCAGGAAATAAAGGACAAGAGCCCAGGCGGGTGGATGGGCCAAACAGCAGCAAACACAGACCTGTTCAGTGTCTGCTGCTCTTCAGAGCTACCGGTTCTATAGAGCCGGGCAGAACCAATAGCATCCCACCCCTGCACCAGGGATAGAGAGAAAGGTTTTTTTTGTGGACTGGAAGGGATGTGGTTTCATGTGCTGCCTGCATCCCCTGGTTGGACCTTTGCTTGTTTGCGCAACCTGGTTTCTGGCATGCCACAGCCCAGTGCCAATCCTTGGACTGGATTGGGGACCCCTGCTCTACACTAATCTAAGACCCAGGGTAATGCAGTAGTTAGAATGTAGTATTGCCAGTTAACTCTTCCCACAACCTTATAGTTTGATCCTGATGTGACTTGAGGTTGACTCAACCTACCATCCTTCCAAGGTCAATAAAATGAGGACCCAGATTGTTGGGAGCAATGTGCTGACACTGTAAGCCAGTCAGAGAGCACTGTAAAGTACTATGAGGTGGTATATAAGTCTAAGTTATTGAGGTGCAGTCTTATGTCAACCGTTGAACTGAAGCAATATTGTTTTACTTTTTCCTCCACAGTTTTGGTAAAGATACAAAGGTGATTCATTTTTTGGGACCAGCAAAGCCCTGGAACTACAAGTACAATCCCCAGACAAGAACAGTCACACCAAATGATTCAGCTTCTGTATCTGAAAATCAGCTGCCATTCCTAGAACTTTGGTGGATAACATACAGGTCCAGTATATTACCATTACTGGAAAAATTGCAAGAGCCTCCAATCCAGCAAAAGGAGGTAAAATGGCTATGGCAGGAAGGATTGACTGAATTTTATGACATGATAGATCTCTTCCACTCCTTAGATCGTAACTCTATTCAGAATGAGCTTACATTGCAACAATCATAAATTTAGTCTGTAATATATTGCTTTAGTCCACATTTAGTCCTTCAAAAGTGTTTGTGCTGTATTATAATTAAGAATTGGAAATAATGTCATGAAACATTTGTTTACAGAAATGAATGTGTATTTTAACATAGTGGATTTACTTTCACCCAAACATAACAGTAAGTATAGCCAATTTGCTACAGTGGTTAAGGCAGCAGGCTAGTCAACTCTTTCTCACAGCCCTAGTAGGCAAAGGCAAACGACTTCTAAAAGTCTTGCTAAAAAAAACTTCAGGACTTGACCAGACAGTTGCCGGGGTCAAAATTAATTGAAGATAGAAAAAATGTTGCTATAATAATCTTAATCCAGAATAAATGTTTACAGCAGAAACATATTCAGAAACATATTGGTGCTGCATGTTTGCAGTGGCTATAGCTGTCCTTTATTTTCCTTGTTCCCCTTCCCAATTTTAAAATTGTTTGTATTATAATCTCCACCGCCCAGTAGTGGGACTCAAAAAAATTTTACCACCAGTTCTGTGGGCATGGCTTGGTGAACATGGCGTGGCGGGCATGCCAGGGGAAGGATACTGTAAAATCTCCATTCCCACCCCACTCCAGGGGAAGGATATTGCAAAATCCCCATTCCCTCTCCACCCCACTAACCTGCTTTCCAGCTCCATTCTCCTGGGCAGGGCAACAAAAGAAGACCCAGCTGATCAGCTGGGACTCCGGAGGCAGAGAATAGATGGGTGTGGGGCCAGTCAGAGGTGGCATTTGCTGGTTCTCTGAACTACTCAAAATTTCTGCTACCAGTTCTCCAGAACTGGTCAGAACCTGCTGAATATCACCTCTGCCACCACCCAGGTTAATAGTTAAATTTCTCAAGTAGATTTAGGGAAACTTCTCAAAGAGGAGCATACAACTCTAGTAGCATATCACTTTTGAAATTGAGTACTAATGTTTTGCATTATAAAATAGAGATAACAGTAAAAAAAAGCTCTTAATGAGGCATTGAGGCACATTCATGTATACATACCTTTTAAAGCACAACTTATGTAACATTCTAGCATGGTCTTGTATACTGCATCACATTTTTATTGAATTTTCACTCCCTTTGTTATGCTTCAAAGTTTGTGAAATTCTAGGTTAACTAGTATTCTTAAAGGAGTAATTACAGTTATATGTTTTAATCAATAAAATGACAAGTATGAATTGAGTGGCCCCTCATTATTATTAAAAAATAACATGTTGGCCACCACCATTGGAGTCTGCTCTTTATAACACAGGATAATAGAAGTGATTCATGACCCTATTAAAAGAGATGTCTTTGGATCTTAAATAGCATATTTATATTGTTATATATGTTCATGAGTCTGAAAGGAATATAAAATTATTACCATGTCACATGGTGTTCAAATGGAGAAAATGTAATCCCATTGTTGCTCTTTCTATGAGTAGTTCACCAATAAAAAAAATCACAAATATTGTATAACAACTGTACACAAAAGGAAGCACAAAAAACCTTAGAATACTAGTAAAAGCTAGGACACAGTTCTTGTATTGTTTAATGTCATGCGTTCACCATAATGAAACTGCGAACAAAGGTGTTGTCTATGGAAGAATTCCTAGGAAAAACATTGCTTCAAAATCTTCATTGCTATAGATCTCCTGCATGGTTTAGTGGACTCCTGGAACAATATTCTGTAAATATGATATGAAAATGGAATGTTCTAATCAGTGGTGGTATTCAAAAATACCTGTGGGTGTGGCTTGGTGGGTGTGGCCATGTGACTGGGTGGGTGTGGCTTTTTTTTGCAGCCCCCACTCATTTTTGAGAGCTTCTTAGCCACAGAGGAGCCTCTGTGGGGGTGTTTTTGCTCCTCTAAGGCTCCTCTGGGGCTCAGGAAGAAAAGGAACAGAGCATGGGAGGGGCATGCAGCACTCCTCCAAGCTCCATTTTGGGACCTTCTTACCCTCAGAGAAGCCTCTGGGGAGGTGTTTTTGCTCCCCTAAGGCTCCTCTGAGGCTCAGGAAGAAAAGGAACAGCATGGGAGGGGCATGCAGCACTCCTCCAAGCTCCGTTTTGGGAGCTTCCTGGCCTCAGAGAAGCCTCGCGGGGGGGGGGCATTTTTGCTCCCCCAAGGCTTCTCTGGGGCTCTGGAAGGCAAAAAATGGAGGGGGTGCTGAGCTCCTCCCTCCATTTTTTGCCTTCCTGGGCCTCAGCAAGGGGAATCCTGGCACAGCTGATCTTATCTACAGCTGATTATCGGGAGGGGGAAAAAAGAAAGAAATACCTTAGGCGAATGTCAGGCAGGTGGGCGGGGTAAGCGAGCATCGGGCGGGAGGGCGACCAGGTGGGGGCATGGACAGCCAGAAATTACTACCGGTTCAGCGACCCACACCAAATTCTTGCTAATGGTTCGCCCGATCCTTCGGGAACCAGCTGAATACCACCACTGGTTCTAATATTTATGTATGTCAACTGTAATAATGTTTGGCTAAAATGAGATAAAATGTAGTGGTGAGATTATTATACTTTGCGTTTGCTTTGCAGTCTCAAGATCCAGATAGCTCATAATCATTGAGGGAACGATGGATTCTAGCTTGTACCAGAAAATACTTCAGAAGTTTTGATCCATAACATTGTTTGGTCAGATCATTGATACAGTAGGGCTGACTGATGCTGCTGACCTCTGGAAGGGAAGAGGACCTTCAGCCATCAATCCTACTGGCATTCATAAAAGCCATTAAGATTTGGCTATTTCAAAATACCTTTGGAGACTGGCAAAATAGTGGGTGGTTCTGATTCTTTCAGTAGGTGATTTACAGAAAGTCCTTGACTTGTGACCCTAATTGAGTCTAGGGTTATGGTCATAAGTCATTGTGGTTGTAATTTGGGGCATCATAATGACCAGACACAATTTTTCAACATTTTTTTTGCTGCAGTTAAGTAAATGTCATTAAGTAAATACGATGCTTGTTATGTGACTGGTCATAAGTTGAGCACTACCTATACTGACAGCACTATTCATGTGATTATGAATAGGAATGTGGTCATATTTTGATTTTTATTTGTACGTGTATATTATTTTGCAATCTGCTTAGAGAATTGTTTGGATAAATTGTAGAACATAAAAGCAGAAATAACATCTAGAGGTAATACATTTAAACAAAAATATAGTGCAAACAATATTTTTGTACTGTAGCCTGAAAGGAACACTGATGTGCTGACACCTGAAAGCAAAAATCCTCTTATCAACAATTCCTTGCCAGACTCAACAAATACAGGATATATTTCAGAATCTGTTGTAACCACATCCAGTGAGTTATCTGCCAAAACTAATATTGTGAGTATATTTGTATTGCTATTATTTTAAACAATTTGGAAGATGCATCCACATTTGTAAACATGTCATTTTCACAGATTTAAAATATAGAATATCTTCAACTGATATGAATATAATTTAATGTATACAGCTTTGCTTTAAAAACAACAGATGTTTCTTTTCAAAACATCTCCTTGAATTAGGTTTGCAGTTGGAAATGACTTGTAATGAAACATCTTTTAAAAGTGTGGCTTTCTATTACAAAATCAGTCAGTCTTTATTTAAGAACAATGGGAGGTACAGTATGTATATTTTACTTGGAAATATATTCCGTTTCCCCTTATGCAAGATATGAATATCTGATGTAACTATTTCTACAGTCTCAGTACCTGTGCTTTTGAGTTCCATATTAACAAGATACTTGGAGATTTGGCAGGGCCCTTTTTGAAAAGAAGCATTTTTATTTAAGCATGTCTGAGATTGCAAGAATAGAAAGTGTTTTTCAACAAGGGATTTTAAATTCATGTGGTAGAACATGGCATACCAGCCTGATGGACATTCTTATACATTTTTCAATGGCATACAAAAACATTTTATTTACTTCAACAAAAAAAGCTAATTGTCAGTATTCCTTTGATCTTTTATGATTACTTGGAGTCTGCCAGTGCAATATTAAAGTAAAATATGCAGACCATAATAGCATTGGAGAATATGGAACATGCTCCAGGCAGGTTGTAATAAAAATTGTTTTTTTTTCTTTGGTTAGAGTGCAACTAAAGCCTGTATTTCAATTTCATTCAGGCTGTAAAGAAAGATGAATGCAGTCTTGAAAGTGATATTGTTGATCCAAGCAAGTCCTTCACGGAATTGTCTGTTCAGCCTGTTCCTCTCCAGACTATGGTAACAGTAAATATATGTGCTGTATGGTCCATTAAATATATGTGCTGTATGGTCCTTTGTCAGCTATTTACTCCAGGTTTACCCATGCTGATCACTATAATTTTTTTAACCATTTGTTGATATTTTTAAAAATATATATTTTATTGTGTTATTAGCTGCAGAGCCACATTCACAAGATGGGCAACCATATAATTGAATTTAATAAATGAAACAAATCAATACATTATGATATGCTTTTACAGCAAATATTTATTTACTTGGCTTTTCTGTTATAGACTTAAAAGAATATTTGATAGATATGAATGATAAGAATGTCTTGCTTACGTTTGTCATGTGATAAAGAATTGGCACCTGTTTTGAGTCCAATATTCCTATAGATATTGTGGCCTGCAAATCCAACTTCTTGCATTATGTACATCTTGAATCCAGTTTTCCGGCTGTAGCTGTTAGTATTATTAAAACAGGAACACTGAACGTCTGAAATGCCTTTCATTCTTTGTTCTTCTAGAATGAATTTGTCAGCCCTGTTGCAAAGGTGACTATTCAGCCAGAGGCAAAGGAATCAAGAGCAGAAGATGAACGAAGGAAGTGGGAGGAAGGCCACATTGATTATCTAGGAAAGGATGCTTTTGAAAACATTAAGAAGAAATTAGATGCTTTTTTATTATAGGTGTTTTTCCTTATCCTAATTGCAATTGATCTGTTTACATTTGCAGAACACACAACTATCTTTTGCTTTGGTGAAGGAAATTTCGGCAAAAATAGATTTTCTGACATGACTAGTCTAGCCTAGATAAATATGTATTTGCCATGTTTACTTTCAGAGAATGAAATGCATGGAGCTTTCAAGCTTTCTTTTTGCGGAGTCAAATTTTGGCTCAACTTCTCCAGAACCTCCCTTTGCTTAGGAATAGCCTCTACAGCCTTGCATCCTGTAAAGTTTCTAGCTAGAAAATTAATCTGAAATTATGATAAATGGCTTTATACTTGTAGATCAAATAAATTTTCCATACCAGATTTGGCATGGAAGAAGGTATAAAAAACTTGAAAGTAAAGGACTCAAATACTTACAGCAGAGTTAATAAACACACCTAAGGACATGATCCAAATATAGTCTCTGGGTATGGAGGATTTTACAGGTTCAATAAAACCTTGCATCTCCTCCTCCTTTTATTAAACTATGTTCATGGAGTGTAATGTATTCGTAGGGAAGACTATATGTATATCATGTATTTTCAACCAGCCCTCCTTTTTTATTTGGTGTAAATAAATCGTGCTGTAATTTAACTGAAATTCAGATGGCCAGGAATTCTAAGTATTGTACTGTCGATATTTTTGGAAGAGGTCTACACATATTAATCTATTACACCCAAACCTTAGAGCAGTTTGTAACATCTTAAGTCATGCGTCATTGTACTATAAGTCTTTGTGAACTGAAATCCATTTTATGAGATGCAGGAAGGCAAAAGAATATTTCATCTGGCTAATGACAGCTAACTCACAACTGGTACAATGTTAGGGCATTAAACAGTGTTTGTAATAGAAACTTAGTCATGTTGAATTAAATGAGCCACTTTTTTCTCATTGTACACTGGTTCCTTTGATTGGTAATGTGTATTTTTTATTTACTGTCAAATGGTTAATTCTTGGTAAAATTATAACTTTATAGCCTTTTTCCCTAGGAGTATTTAAAATTCTTAAATTTAACATTGAATCTTAGGATAACTGTTTCAAAGCATTATGTATAATTGAATTACTAAAACCCTCATGTATCCACTGAGATGCTTACCAAAACTAAAGTGAACCTTTTTATCTGTTAGAACATTTGAAATATATTTGTTGCATTCTCTTTAAGCTTTTTTGTGATTTTCTGTCCCTGTTTTAGGTTGCAGCCTATCTAAAGCAGAGATTCGTTTAATAGTTTCTTGAAGAAGTTTAGTTTTGCATGCAAGGAGGTGTCAGTGTTACATAATTTATGTTTTCCCATCAACATTCATTTCCTTTTAATTTTGATTTGATACTTTATGATTTTGTAAATATTTAGTAAAAGTATAAGTTCTACCTTATAATTGCCATATTTTTTTCTTCATTTTTGTAATAAAGTAGTTTATCAAATAAACATTTTATTTTTATCTTGAAATCTCCATGTCCTATTCTCATCATATTAACTGATTTAAGAATCTTATAAAAGTATACTCAATAATTAGAAATTAGTGAATATCATACTAGGAATAACAATAATGCGCTGGCAGAGGAGACAGGCGATGGGCCTTGCTAGTCAAGGTATTTCAGTTGGCGTGGTCCATGAGAAGACCCTTCTCTGCTATGGCTCCTGCCCTTTGGAATATCTGACATGCCCCTCCTGTGTGTGTGTGTGTGTGTGAAATCAGCTGCCATATTGCGTCCTGAAAAGACTGAGCTGAAGTCTTCACTCCGGTCCGTGCTTTTAGCAGGAACACAGACCATTCCTATTGGCTGACATTGTTTGACAACTGACTAAAAGGGAGCTGTCAAATGGCATCAGCTGTTGCCCGCTAGCTGGCTGCCCTTTTAGCGTGGCAGTCGCAGCAACCCTTTATTGTTCTAATAAAGTTTAAAGCTGAAGTTGCTCCACATTGCCTCAGTCATTCTGCTGCTCACACTACACTGGCAACAAGGACAGGATATATATAAGAGGCAACAGAGCAAAAAATCGCTGAGCAAAGTCACTACAAAAAGAGCGGAAGCCACTACGGAGCTGTATGTCACTTTAAGAGCTTACTGTCACTATTCGCGAGCACAAATTTCAACTTCCCTCAGAAGAACTGGCACCGCTGAGACAAGATGACTTCAAACCCTGCGTTCCCGCCTTTCAGACCGACAGCGGAGACATGGCAGTCCTACAGAAACCAATTCGACTGCTTCCTAGATGCCATTGACCTCGCTGATATTTCTGACCATAGGAAAAAATCTTACTTTTTAAGTTTTTGTGGAGCCACAGTGTTTGACACTGCTATCACATTGCTGGCACTATGTTCAATTAAGACTGTTCCATGGGAGGAATTACAGGAAATTCTTTCTAACCATTATTCTCATAAGCCCTATCATATTGCCAGGCATCATGCCTTTAGGACACAAACCCAGGCTGAGGGAAGAGTCTATTAGTGGGTATATGGCAGCTTTACAAACAGCTGCCTTGCACTGTGGTTTAGAGACTATCAGGAGGACATGCTATTAGATCAATTAGTCTTGGAGTCAGGGACTTAAGCTTACAAAGGCACCTACTGGCTAAAGGGGATTTGACTCTTAAAATAGCAATAGAGGAATCCCAAGCTGCAGAGCTATCAGCAGTCTCAGCAGCAGAAATTCAAGGGAATCCAGTCAGCCAGAACAGATCAGCCGTTCATTATGATGAAGCTTCCACTGAGGAAGGCTCTGAAGAAACCACTGATGTAAATCACCTCAGGCAGCCCAAACCCAGTCAAAGGGGGAACAGGTCTATTCCAAATCAACCTCCACAATCTCAGCCCATCTGTCTAAGCCACTCCAGGGCATCCTGCAAGTTCAGGAATGCCATCTATTTAAAATGCCAGAGAAAGGATCATTTAGCCAGAATCTGTCAGGCAGAGAAGACTTTTGCCCAGCCACAGCAATCTCAGACAACTCAGCATTTCCAAAAACAAAATGAAGATTATTACCTGCTACCAAGCTAAGCAGACAGACAAAGGTTCTAACAAAATTAATGTTATTATTTCTCTAGAAGGAAAGCCTTGCAGGATGGAAGTAGACACTGGCTCCACCATTTTGTGGACCACCTTGAAACAACTACTTCCCAGAATGGCAAAGAAAAGGCTTCAAGGCTGCAACTTAACCCTACGTGACTATCAAGGCAGAACCATCCCAGTCATTGGAAAAGGCAAGTTTTTTTATTCATTTTCAAAATTTTAAGGGTCACTTTGTGATAGTGGATGGTGCCCTCCCAAGCTGTTAGGGTTAGATATGGTTCCCTGCCTTTGGCTTTCATATATGAGGAATCCACTCGATTGCCAATTCAGAGGTGGGTGCCTTGTTCAAACACTATGCTGATGTGTTCAGCGAAGGCATAGGCTATTACTTGCGAACTCCAATATCTTTCAACTTGGACCCTCTAGCAGTTCCAATCTGTTTAAAGCCTCGAAGAGTACCTTTTGCAATCTGCCCTAAGATGGACAAGGAACTGGACAAATTAATTAACTAGGCCTGTGGACTTCACAAAATGGGAAACCCCAATAGTGACACCCCTGAAGAAAGATGGCAGTTTGAGAATTTGAGCTGATTACAAGTGCTCTTGAAACAAATGTTTACATATCAGTGCTTATCCATTCCCAGTTATCCAGCACTTGCTACACTCTTTTGAGCCAGGAACCATTTTCGCAAAACTAGATTTGTCACAAGCCTATCAACAGCTCCCTGTTGATGACACAGCCGCAGAGCTACAAACTATTGTAACACACAGGGGCCCTTTTAAGTGTAGGCACCTCCAATTTGGAGTCAGTGTGGCCCCAGGAATTTTCCAATCATTAATGGAGAGACTGCTTCAAGGATTACCTGGTGTAATACCTTATTTTGATGACAATTTAATATCTGCCTTTGACAAGCCTCAGTTACTGCAGAGAGTCAGAGGTGTCCTCGAGTGTTTCAGGAAGTCTGGTCTCAAATTGAAAAAAGAGAAATGCACTATTGCCACTCCACAGGTTGAATTTTTGGGTTACAGAATTGATGCCTCTGGCATTCACCCAATCAAATCCAAAATAAGGGCTATTCAAGAGGCATCCACACCAACTAATAAAACAGAGCTCCAGTCTTTTTTGGGACTCCTTAACTTCTATGCCTTGTTTTTGCCCCATAAAGCTTCCATCACAAAACCTCTACATAGGCTCCTGGACAAACAATCTTCTTGGCATTGGGGACCTAAGGAAGCCTATGCTTTTAAAGCAGTCAAATCATTGCTTACATCTGATGCTGTTCTGATTCAATTCAACAAAAATTTGCCTTTAGTCTTAGTTGCAGACACCTCACCTTTTCACATAGGAGCCGTTTTAAGTCACAGACTGCCTAATTGTTCTGAGGCGCCCATTGCTTTTTTCTCCAGAACATTCTCCCCAGTGGAGCGCAACTACAGTCAAATTGACAAAGAGGCTTTGGCTGCAGTTGCTTCAGTCAAAAAGTTCCATGAGTTTCTCTATGGATACCATTTCAAGTTAGTTACAGATCATAAGCCTCTTTTGGGTCTTCTGTCTGGCAACAGACAAATGCCTCAGATTTTGTCTCCAAGAATGACCAGGTGGACATTATTTCTGGCTGCATATTCCTATATGCTGGTTCATTGAGCAGGCAAAAGCCTCAGCCACACTGATGCCCTTAGTCGCTGCCCCCTGCCTACTCCAGTGGAGGATCCTGCACCAACCAATGCTGTGTTCCTGATCAATGACCTCAAGCTTCCCATCACCACTTCTGATATTGCTGCCCACTCTGCCAAGGACAAGGTGGCCCTCCGGACGTTCTTGCCGCATCCAGACCACCAGTGCCTGAAGAAGCCCACTGTGGACCTGACAGCGACACGAGCCTACCTGGACAGTCGACGGTCCCGCACCCCGAGCTGTCTGAAGCTGAGAACCTGCTCCTGTATTGCCAGAAACTGCCCGCCAAGCAGAGGAGTCCCATCTTGCAGCAGCACCATTGGAGCCGAGAAGATCTGACCGACTGCACAAGCGCCCGAGTTATCTGAAGGACTACACGTGTTCCGTTCGGGGAGAAAGAAGTATTCTATCCTGAAAAGACTGAGTTGAAGTCTTCACTCCGGTCCGTGCTTCCAGCAGGAACACAGACTGTTCCTATTGGCTGATGTTGTTTGACAGCTGACTATAAAAGGGAGCTGTCAAACGGCATCAGCTGTTGCCTGCCAGCTGGCTGCCCTGTTAGTGTGGCAGTCGCGGCAACCCTTTATTATTCTAATAAAGTTTAAAGCTGATGTTGCTTCATGTTGCCTCAGTCATTCCGCCGCTCACACGACATCCCACCTCCTGACCTTTTCTAAGGTCCTGGAGACCTGGCTCTGTCAGTTGGCCTAGGGTCCCAGTGGAGAACCGCATTATCTTTCATAATGGCACTATTTTAATTGTAAGGCCTTTACCTACTTCTGTTACAACACAGGATCCATTTTGTTTCTTGCAAACAGAGATTATGCTGGAGGGTGACACCTGGTTTTGCAGGATGCCGGCTGTATATTTATTTCTCTTAATTAAAAGAATGTGAAGGAATAGATAAGGTAGGAAGGAAAAGTGACACTAAAGAGGTCTCTAGTAATAATAATGCATAAAGGTCAGATTATGGACTGTGGATTATATTCTTAAAATGATCTGAAAAGAACATTTTAAAGAAAGCAAACACTTGTCATAGAACAGATGTTTCCATCTATTTCCGCTGCTGCTGCTTCTTGCAGTTGATTCAAAATTTAAATTGCTTGGAAATATTTGTCTGCCTACAAGCATGTGTCTAGAAAGTAAAAACTACATTGTTAAGGAGGTGATCCATTTAAGAAAAAAATGAAGAAATAGCTTGGCATGTCTCAAAGAAAGAAGCAATTGTCGCGTTTAAAAAGGGATAGGCAACTAATTTGATATAATTAACTATTTCATTGTTTAATCATGACAATTGCAGACAAAATAAGCTCGTACTTCATCATTGTAATTCACTCATTTAAGGAACATTATGAGTGTCCTATTTCTCACCAACTTTATTTCAATAATTCTCTTAAAATCTATTTAATGATGATATCATTATTGCTTTCATCATTACACCAACAAAAAGGGAATGTCCCACAACATGGCTGCAACCAAGGCTTCCAAACAGTATTGTACACATCAAGTTGTTGGGCGACAGGTGTGAGAGTATTACGATGTTTGGTCACTACTGTTGCCATTTGACTTATGACCACGTTAAATAGTGGTTCAGAAGTTGGGGATAAGCGGTTGGTCTCTGAAAGATCACGTGAAAGATTGAAAAGCAAAGGAGGGTTATGATGGGTTACTTCATCACCGAAACATTGAC